TGACTCCAAAACATATTCAGTTAGAATGCAATTAATAACTTTTTTCTTTGCACTGGGATGTGATATATTTGTCCACTATGTAAATGTTAAGAAGTGGTCAGTCATTTTTATTTTGCTCACAGAGCTATCACTGTTGTTTTCTTTTTACGAGAGTCCTACACATATGAAGATGAACCCAGGTACCTTAACCACTCTGACTTATAGGACATCTGCCATGTATTATCTTCTGTAGATAATGTTGATATATCTGTCTGTGTAGATCACAACACTAGGGCTAATCAGACAGAATGCAGTTTGCATTGTTTAATAGATTCCTGTAATCAATGATATCACTTGCTAATGAGAAAAGCATTAAGCAAAGTAGCCTTACTGTACTCAGTTTATATTTTCATTTAATAAAACATTGCTGGTACCCAATCTGGAGTATGCTGCCAACAATTATGGAGATGGGACAGTAGTTCTGTTATTCTGAGGCTGAGCTGAAGAGAAGGAGTAGCTGCCAATAAAGCCAGTCATGTGTGGCATAGTTCATGGGGAAAAGAGGCAGAAACAGTGAGAATTGGAGTTCACTGCTGATGGTGTTTGAAAATCTGCTCTGCTGATCTAGACTAAAACAAATAATTTCCAACATCCTGGCAGTCATAAAACATGTTTGTTGCACCACAAGTAAGTCTCTCTAAGGACACATTGCAAGCTGGGAAAGCAAAGGTGAGGTTACCCTTGTCCTGGAGGACGTGTGTATCACTCAGTATGGCAGAGTATGTACCCAGCATCACGTGAGGACCTTCCCTTCTCGCTTAGGGATGTCTCCTCTCTTCTTGCAACATTAGAACGTTCTTACCTGCTTCTTTTCTTTGATTTCAGCCTTAGTGCCCTGATTCCATAACTCTTCCTCTTGCCCAGTGTTGTACTCTCTTTTTCTTTCTGCTTAACTTCTTGTTCTTCTTTCCTGCTTTCTCACAAATAAGTGTTTTTAATATCTCCACATTTAGGCACATCCAGGACTTCTGTCATGAGAAGTCATGCTATAGGATTTTTTTTATTCTAGTACTAAGATCATGTCTTTATATGTTGTGTGATAGGGCAGTTCTGTTTCTCTCCCAAGGGCTCAAGTGTTGTCTGTGAGAAAAAGACATTATACCATATTATACCATCTATTTGGTATTATTTAAAAAAAAAAGAAAAAGTAGCTGCCTTTGTTTGAAAAGCTGATTCCTGTCTAAGTTTTCCTTATAGAAGCTTAGCATTCTCAAAGGCCAGTGTTATTGTCATAGATTCTCTTGGTTTACCACATTTTTGTTCTGTGCCCTTAACATCTATAGCATCTCATTCCAGATGGAGTCCATTGTGTCCCTAAGAAACCCTTTCTTCAATTTCCTGGGTTGGTACAGTACATTCAATGGCTTTGTCAAGGAGGAAACTTTATTAAATTGGATTGGGAAAAAGGCAGTGAAAGTGCATTAGTTCAGTGATAAATACTGCTGTGATTTCTACAGTATTCAGTCACATCTCATGTGTAGGTGAGGGGCTTTCAGACTACAGCTAGCCTGGGACTTCACAAGCTTAAGCAGAAGAGGAAAGGGTCCTTTTACATATGTGCCCCTATGAAATAGAGACGCATACCCAAGCTTACTGTCTGTTTCCTTTTTAAATTAGGATAGGAAGGATGTTTTACCACCAGGCAAAACCTTTAATAATTGAAATTTGGGTTGATAGGTTTGTTATCTCTATACGTGAAAGCAGAAATCAGTGCACACAGAGATCTAGTAAGTACTAATAAAAATTAGCTGTTATGTGTAAAGTCCGCAAATATTTCTTAGTTATTACATAATGTACAGTCTTTAACTGCCATTTTCCTGGCTTGTTTAGCTTTTTGTAGGTCTCAGATGAGATGTAAGTGAATAAATTTAGCAACTTTACTGTGGGTCTCAGAATTATGCTTATTCAGCAGCATGTAGTAACTGGTTCAACATGAACTGCTTCTTAAATAAACATACAAAATACCTGATCCAGACTAGATCAATTTAAAACAAGAAAAACTTTTAACCTGTGTTTCCTGTTACATGCTTATGGTTGTCTTTGGTTGCTTATGATCTTACTGTATTGCTGGCCAACTGCTGTATTCTGCACCACCTGCCAAAAAATTCAGGTGAGATAGCAAAGTTGTTTTCAGAAGAGGGAAGCAATTAAAATTGTAACCTCTACAGTACATTTCAGCTGATAAAACATCACTTATGCTGGAGATGGAGAAGTCATGAATTTGGCTTACTCTGTTTTCCTGAATTTATTTTCTGCAAGGATTTTAAAGGGTTCAGAGTTCATGCAAAGCATGTGTACTTAAGATTAGGCCAGGTTTGCTGTGGTTTAACATACCTTCATCCTTCTAGAAAGTATACAGCTAATAAATTGGAGCATACTTAGGGAAATTGTTGCTACGAAAGCCAGAAATGAGTGCTCAGGTAAATCCCTGTATGTAAATTGTTGATATGGGAAACTAGAAATGAGGGCTGATATAAATGCCTTTATATTTATTACTTGGGAAAAGGCTGTATTTTGGTCCTTGTATAAAAGTGGCGTGGTGCACTTTGTGAAAGTCCTAATGAGCTTCATCAAAACATCAGGTCATTAAATACCTTGTATTTTTGGATTAAAATCCTTGTATTTTACATGTATAAAATATGTGTTTCTTGAAATGCGTTATCTATGGAAATACAGTTTGCTTGAATTTCAAAAATATATCTGAAGGATCAGAAGATGAGTTTTGTGTTATATGTAGGAGACTGTTAATAGTAGGAACAGAATGCAGATGTGAACTTTTATATCAGCATGAAAATATTGAAGAATTAGGCTGTAATATCCCAAAGTACATTTAAAAAAAGATGCAGTGGACAAATGTTATACCTGAGTACCTTTTGTTTAAATAATACCTTTGTATATTCTACTGCACCTAAAGATTCTTGCCAAAGAGTGATTTTGTTGTGGTTTATATTTAAATAAATAAACTTGTGAGTGTAAGAAAGCCATTGTCACAGTGGGGAGTTTCAGATTAGTATATACAGACACATTGTGCTTGAGGAATTTGGTTCACAAGGTCATGGTTATGCTGAATGAGTCTAAAGAATATCTAGGTGAGGCTATTGCAAGTTATGAAGCTGCTCATAAAAGAAGAAATGAAAAATTCTCACTGTGAAGTTCAGGGGAAAAAATCCATTATGCACATGAAATTAGTATCATACTCTGTTTTATATATATAAGCAGATTTCCAAAAATATGTAATTTAGTGCTTTATTTAAAGTCATATTTCACAAAACAAATATTCTAGTATTTACTTGTATTAGACAAAGTATAAAAATAGACATTGGATCATACAATAATCTACTGTGGTGTTTTTTTAAAAAAAAACTGCATTCATATTGATGAAATGATGCCTTAGAAAGAGTAATAAAAGGCACAGTGGTTGTGGTTAGGGCACTCTGTGTGGAAAGTTGACAAACACATTCTTAAGTTTTAACAAACCACATTTAATTTTGAAATACCGCTACTGACATAACAGATTTTTAGTGTGTTTCTGCTAAGCACTTAAGAAAGTTACAGGGACTACTGAACAATGCCATCACAGTGCCTCACCAGGAATGACTTGATCAAAATGGTTTTCCTGTCATCCACATGCCTCTGTGGGTATATATGATTAATTACTTAATTTTCTTAATTGCTAAAATACTCCACTAGTGACAATGGCAGTGTATTAGCAGTTGTAACTGTTATTTGTATTTGGGCAGCACTGGGATTACACTTTGAAACAGATTGCATAGCTACAGTTTGCATACCTGTACTCTGAGTTTGCAGTTTGGGATGTGCTACATTAATAGTTATTTGTGTTTAGATTATTAGCATCAAATTCACACAAATTGCAGAATTATTAATTCTCTGTGAAGATAGCAGCAGTACACTAAATCATTTTGGCCCAAGACAAAAACCTTGAATAGAACAGTAGATTGAATGTCATATGCAAATAAGGATCTTAAGGATCTTTCAGAGGTATGAAATCAGTAAAAACAGACTACAATTTGTGATCATAGGTTGAATAAAAAAAAAAGTTAATATCTCCTTGCTCCCTTATTTTGAAAAATAGCAATAATATAATGGTGAATTTTTATCATAATATCAAATGAGCAATGTGCAGAAGGCTGTGTTGTTCCTAGTATAGAAATGGCAAGATAATTTTTTTTAGCATTTCCCAGTGCTTATTAACAGAACATGAATGGCAGTAGGAAGCTCCTCTGTTACTGGTCACAGATAAAATTAAATGGTCTCAGCACCCTCTGCTCACTTAATAGCTCATGAATGTTTTGAAGTTGAGTCTGACTGTTTCCAAAACTCAGTTCAAGGCTGAAACACTTTGTAAAATCTAATGTAGTAGACTTTAAAGGAATCTACAAGGAATGTGGTTGACTCAAAAATGCTTTTTTCTCACTTGTTAGAAGAATTTTATTTGAAAAACTCTGTGCTAAAATACAGTGGTAAAATGATTGAATTGTTTTTCCATCATCTTGGAATATTCTTTTTAATTTTTATTCTTTGATGAATTTGAACAGTGGGAAAATTGGTTATATTTCTTGGTTATACTGATGTGTAGCTATTCTTTTTGAGGACTTGGATGTGACATCCTTTATCCATTCAGAAGATATGAATCAGTCCTATTTCCCCACAAGGTTACTGATATGGATCTGTTTGGAAGTGCAATGACGTTGATGCATTGATCTCATATCAACTTTGGTACATCTGGCTAAATTTAAGAATATATTCATTTGCAAATCTCCCATTGAATTCCATAGCAAAGGCAGATGGGTATTTTTTAAGATTTGAAATTAAAATAATGCTTACTGTAGACAAAAATTGCAAAATTTATACCTTCATTTTGTTAATTTGGGTCTTAACAATTATCTGATTGGTCTGATTTTGACCTTTGATGATTTCTTTTCCTTTTTTTGACATTACAGGAGGGCACTAAATCTAGGAATTCTTCGAGACCCTGGATCAGAGGTTGAAGACAGACAATATCAAATAGATCTTCAATCTATCAACATTGGTACTGCTTATTGGAATCAGTTGAAACCAGAGAAGGAAAATGGAAAAGGAGGGGTTTTGACAGAGACTGAGAGAAATTCTCAAAATCCAGCACTTGAATGGAACATGGCCAGTAGGTAGGGATTTTTTTAAAAATTTACTCTTTTCTGAAATTGCATAGCACAAACACTGCAGGGAGCATGCACGGTATACCTGAATTAAATAATTCAATTCTGTTTTTGCTTTACACTGCGAGCACATTTCCCTGGGGTTTTGGGTTACATATTTGAAATGCATATTACTGTTCCTGTTTCACTGTAGTTATTGTCTAGTTTCTGTGTATCTTTGCCTCCATTATAAGCTCTTCTCCAAGTGACTTACTGTCTGTCCATAAACATAACTCCAGGGCTGAGACTTCAGCTTGCAAGTCTCTATAAGCAATTTGAGGTTCTGGTTTGGGATTTTTATTTTGTGTAGGGTGTGTTTTGGTTTTTTCTCTAAACTTCTTTTGTTTGTATTTTTACAAAGCTTGAGTAAAACCAGCTTAGACATTTCAAAATTAGAGAGAGATAAAGTAGAACATTTCCTATTGATTCTGAACTAGTTTTAGCACTTCTACAACTTAAAACAGATGAATTTTGAGAATGAGATATTTCAGCTAAGTCTCCTTTATTGAGTATTGTATATGGGCACACAAAGCCCCACCCTCTGGTTAAACTGTGTTGAAAGAAAAAGCATGCATACACTTGCCTGCTATTTTAAATTTTGATTTTCTCAAATATAAAATCTGGGGGATTGGTTGGTAATTTGTGAAGATTTAAAATTTTTATTTTGGTTTTAATATACTTTTTTTTTACTTTAAAATTCATACAAGTAGTTTAAAACTAAATTTAAAGACTGTAGCAAATTTCAGTTTTCAAACTGGCAGGAATAAAGTCTGATGGCCAAAAGCAAGCTTTCAAAAGTAATTTTGTGGATTTAGAAGCATTTCTGCTAGTAGATGCCTCTTTGCCTATACATTTAGCTATTTGTTTTCATATAGACATCCTTTCTATCTAATTTTTTCACAAACAATCTGATTTTTATGAGATGTATGCATAATTTTATGGTTCCTAAGATACGATTCCTATCTGAATTTAGGGATGAGTTCCTAAAAGTGGTATAGAAAAACAGGCAGAATCATCTGGAAATAACTACTTTTGGTTTTATTTTCAGAAAAATTGGAGATGAGAGGTGTCAGATTTTTCTGAAAGTAAGGCAAGTTGTAGCAAAAGGCTACATGAGGATGACACACAGACTGAGCTTTGTAAGTGATGTATTGATCCCAGGCCAAGAGGGCAGATAAGCTCACTCTGGAGGAAAGCATGCAAGAAAAAGATGTGATCAAAAATAAATTCCAATTTATTGAAAAATAGAGGGCAGGAAAAACAGTTCTACCCAAAGAAATGATAAAATGCCAAGGAGTCACAGGAGTGCAGATAAAAAAATTAACATAGAAATAGATTCTGGTCTTTATTTATAAGAACACGTGGTTCTTTCCTGTCTTAACAATTTGTTTTTTAAAAACTCATATAATTCCATAGAGGCTTTTAATTTTAAATTTCTAGCCTTAAAAAACATGTGTGACTTTCTAGTTGGGCATTGATGTTGGACAAGTTCCCTGTTAGGTTCTCTTTGTCCTAGAATTCCACATCCAGAAAAATAAGATTACGTTAATCTCCAAAGGACTTGCAGCCAATTTGCAACTTAAGCTAATATAGCAAAATCAGCCACTGAGAGGTTGGCTTTCCTTTTCCTTGCCATTGGTGACTGAAATCCTACTGCCAGCACACTCTGGGTCTGAGCTTTATGGTTATACATTCAGATAGGAAATCTGGTGGGGTTCCTGAAAAGCTAATAGGACAAGGAAAGCAGCTGTTACGGACAATCTTGAGTTCTCTTTTTCTTTTTTTTTTTCTCCTATAACTGCTTGGACATGCTTCCTCAGCAGACTTCCAAAATGAAGTTTTATTAGAATACAAATAAGTATTTTTGGTTCAAAATAGCTTTTGAATGAATCTTCTACTTGGGTTTTAATTTAGAACAGTTGTAAATAAATATATTAGGTTTTCCTTTCTGGTGTGCGGTTACAGAATTTTAATTCTGACTTGTTTTCAAGAAAAAGTATGAATGCTTTCTTACACTTTTTGTTTTAAATTTTATATATTTAACATAGTTTTTTAAGGATCTTTGCATTTTTGCTTTTTAGTTAGCAGTCAGTTTTGCTGTATCTGGGTTTATTTTATGACCTGTGGATGCTTACTGTTTTTAGGGTTAAGTTTATCGTAATATTTACTGCAAATACCACAAAAGCTTTATGCTTTAATCTAATTCCCATACCAGTTTTTAGAATCCTTTAGGTTTCTTAGACATGTTTAACCTGGGACATAATGAATGATTTTTGCTGAGTTATTTTAGGGTTAATTTCTTTGTTTGGTTTTAATATACTTCTGTTTGTTCTTACCCAGTGTTATGGTATATTAGGATCACTGTGTTTAAAGATTATTCTTTGAAATCTGTTTCCCTCATTTTTGCAATACTTTAATGCTATGAGAGGCAGTATAGAATCCAGTCTATATCCAGGATTTTCACAGTTACTTTACAGAAAACTTCAGCATAGATAACAGCCATTCCTTTTCCATTCCCATTTGTAAAAGCATTACTGCATTATTTCAAAATAAAATTGCAAAAAGTTTGAAGTAAATTATATTGTAATTTAATCTACAATTGAAATTTGGCCTCATTTTAAAAATTTGCATGAAAATCAAAACATTGTAAGTAGGAGATCTATGGCTATCACACAAACAAGTATCTGGAAGCTCTTGACATAATTCATCATTTAAATATATCATTTAAATGCTTTAACAATCTTTAGTCTGAAAGTAAAGCCTTTGAATTTTCACACCACTTTTTCTGGAGTTCAGTTCTTCTAGTACTTAATGTGTTAAGGGGTTGATTTTTTTTACCCTCCCGACTTTTACATTGCAGTTTGGAAAGCAAGCTGTCATTCTCTAAGTTGTTGAATACTTGCAGGTGTTGAGTGTAAGATTCTTCAAGAGAGGTTATAGTGAAATGCTGGTGTGATGCCTCCTGTGTCTCTGCAGGTCACCCCAAGGAGAATGGGGCAATTGGAACACTCTGCTAAGAGTGGATGCAGTCTTGCAGAAGAAACTTTCTAGATGCTATGCTGTACTGAGGATCAGAGATCATAACTCTTTCCATTATGAAATGTTTATACTTCACCATAGATGTTATAAAAAGCTCCCTAATGGTGTAATATATAAAAAGAATACTGGAAACAGTCAGACAGTTCTAATAAGGTTATGTACAAATGAAACCTGTCCACATTTATTCCCTTTACCAAACAGCATGTGGGGAACTGGGACTACTTAACCAAAAGAAGTTTTCTTGATTGAAAACTGCTTTTTCAGCTTGCAGATCTCCTCCTCCCTCTCCTTCCACTCAATGGAAAAAACAACAGCCCTGAAGGAAATAAAGAAATATATCCTCTCTTGAGGCCTCGCCCCCATCCCTGTGCAATCCTTCTACAGCTCCCAGCAGCAACTTCTGCTTCCTGCAGTCTGAATAAACTTTGTTTAAAAAAAATAATAATTGAGCTTAAAAACATTACTTCTCTGTGTGGTAACGAATTGAGTGTGGCAATATACTGCGTTACGGTTCTGTCCTTGGCATACCACCATCTGGAACAGCTCTCATGGAGTACATCAGGGAGCCAATGATCTGTTGTACAAAACTGAACAAAATACCACTGCAAGGATCCTCAGAAAGATTTCCTGCAAATTTTTCTTTGAATAGCTTTCATTTTCATGCTTCTTTGGAAAGTTCTTGGCAGCTTGCCAAGTTCTAATGTGAAAGACTAGAAAAAAAATTGATCTGTGGATCTTTGTGTAAGAAAGTAGGGGCATTCCCCTTGAATCTTATAGAATAAAATGCAATGCATTTTTTCTCAGTAATTTATTTTAATTGGTGTCTTTTATGGTACCTGAAGTTGTGCTTGTATTCATACTGTACAAAGCCTTTCTCAATAAGATGGGGTGTTTTTTATATTAATCCACAGCAAAGGAATGCTGCACAGCATTCTTCATAAGAGCTAGTTTTACTGAGGTCTTATAACACAAAAATTGGAATTCTATTACTAGCCAGGTATTGTACACCTGTTCATTTTCTAATTTTGGTTATTAGATTGTCCTCAAGATGTTGCTGTGCCATTTTACTGCCATGTAACATGGCTTTGCAACACCTCAGGGAGCTCAAAGGATGTGAATTAGTCATTAGTAGTTAACTATCCTAATACATTCCTAATATATTTGTATATCAGGGATTAGCTGATTTAAACAGCTACATGGGAAGCCAGCAAGAGAAAATTCTTTCATAAGTCTCAGGTTAATGTGCTATCTTAAATAACATCTTCTGACGTTTTGCATGCCTCAAGACTATTAGAGAACACTTTGACTATGTGGCCTATTTCATGCTAATGTTTTTTTTCTTTTTCACATCACAAAATTCTCCATGAGGACTCATCTTTCTGTAGCTAGTAAAATTACATGGTGTAAATGTGCTTTTGATTGTTATTCATGCATTGAATGTATACAAGTTTCTCCCTGCCTTACAAATTTTTAAGTATATAAGGGCTCAAAGTCTGGATTCAACAAGGTATTATTAAGAAAAAAATACAATTAGTAATAAATTAAAAAATTCCAGATTTCGCATCTAGGTTATGTTTAGCTATTACTGGCCATAAATTCTGTTTGTTTTGATTAGTGTTTTCTACGTGAGAGTCATAGTAGTAGGACTTAATCCTACTTGTGCATTTTCTCAGCTTATCCAGTCTCACATCATCACATCTCTTTAATTAGAGCAACATCATCTCGTTGGCAGTCCATCCTCTTTGTATAAATTCAACGTGCTTCTGACTGGATATAATCAAATACTGATGATTTGATTTGATGTAATCAAATAAAGTTGTTGCTTCCATTGCAAAATTCTGTTCTTCACATTTTTTTTCTCTCTTCTTCCCACAACATATTTTGTTATATTAATCATTAGATGTCTTGGTTTTGCGCTTCTTCAAGACCCGGTCTTTCCGTTTCCCTTTTTGTGTCATCTTTCATTTGCACTCCCTGTTCAGCAGACTTTACTTATCATGCCAGTTACTGACACATTCAGTGTTTTGAAGAGGCACTTTCTTGACCACTCCTGTGTGTTGTAAAGGTGTTTGCTGTGAGCATTCACATTGTTATTGCAATGTTTTATTTGAAATCCTTCAAAAAAGTTAATTTCTATTATACTGTAATATAAAAACCATAAGACAGGTTGCCACTGTATGGATATCATTACCTATGCTGCTGTTAGTGGTTTACTTTTACTTCCCTGTCTGTGGGTGTGTTTTTTCTTATACTTAAATTGTAAGCCTTTGAGGACAGAGACCATTTTTGTCCTGTGCTTTTGCAATGTGGATCTTGTGGTCCACATAACCAGAGTTTGTTATTGTGCAGATAAAGCCCAACTTCTGCACTAAGGCACCTCCAAACCTTATCACTGTTCCTTAACTGCCTTGTTCCTTTGTGTTAGCATATGGTCTTTCAAATGCACTTACTTTTAAGTGTAGATGATCAACTGCTTTAACATCTCTAAAAATACTAGCTTTTCCTTTTTTTTTTCCAAGACAAATATATAACAGATGCATAAATGAACCACGGAATGAATGTGCTGCAGACATAGAGCCATCATTACGCTCTTCACAATCAAGTTTTTTCATAAGCTCATGTGGCGTACACCTGTGTTAAGTTAACGTTGCACTTAGGTGCAGTGTGGAAGACTCAATAATTCAAAGTGGAATTTGTTTCTTTGTTCCTTTTGTGCTCTTTCTCATATCCTCTCCCTTCATTATTTACTGTGCTCTGTTTGCCTTCTGTTTGTACTTACAATTATTTTCCTAATACTTGATTTGGCTGAGGTTCAAATTCACCCACAAGAAATTCAGAAAGTAGTAAGTAGAGCCGGATAGGGACAGGACATAAGGATGATTTTAAAAATATAGTATAATAAAGCAGTGATCAATATACAATACCAAAAATGTCCTTCAAGATGCAGTGTACTGGTTAGCTACTAGTATAAAGTATGAAAATTAAGAAATGGGAATATGCATAAGCTAAAAACTAATATAATCAGTGATTGAAGAGAGCCAATTGAGGGTTTGAAGTTCAACAAATAACTTGCTTTTACGGCTCTGTTTCATACATGAAAATCATACTATTAGCATTTCAAGAAACTTTAAGCAGAAGTTTTCTGGTATAGCTAGAAAGTACAGCTGCATGTTCTTTTATGGAATTGTCCTGCTATTTAGGCCTTTCATTGTCCTGAAAAAAAAAAAAAAAAAGGCATTTTTTTTCTTATCCCATTGAGAAGGGGAAATAGGAACTGGGTAGAAAATTATTTGGTTTAAATATAAAATAAAGGTGGTGGCAGAGAGAGAAACAATTGTAAAACTCCAAAATCTAAGACTGTTTTCTCAGTTTGAAGATTTTCACTAGCCACTAACAAGTCTGATTTCTAATTTGGGGATCTAATGAGACTAACCTTGCTCTAAAAGACATCATTAGAGATAACAAAGCTGTAGCTGAACAAAATGTTAAAGCTTTTAAGGTAAGATGGTAGTTCTGTCCACTCACCAATTGGCTTACTCTTAAGCAAATTGCACACTTCTTATGTTAGTGTGCAGCCTCCTCAGCAGTGAGGGTCATTTGAGGCAAAAGTTTATTAGAGTTGTGCTCTGCCAATATTAGCTCTGTGGCATCTGCTTTTAACTTCTGTATAGTGTTGTCCTAAATAAATTGAAAAGCCTTAAGTCCTACCTCCACTGTATAATTTATATTCTCTTATAGGTCACCATCCTTTCTACATATTTTGAAGACAATTATTAGTAGAATTTGAAGCATCAAAACTAAATTAGCCTAAGCAGTAAAATGAATTCTGTATCTTCTGCAGTATGAATTTTTTATCTTTTGCAGTAGACTGAATTCCACCTCAGGTTATGATATCTATTTAATTTATTTCCAGCCTAACTCTTGGCTTACAAACCGTCAGCATTGGAGATTGTTTGGTTTTCTACAGATGGTTCTTACAGAACCACTGCCAGACTATGAATCACAATACACCTTTTAATCAAGAGATTTCAATACCTAGTCAGCATGCAGCCAAGTAACCACTGCATAGACAGGCATATAATAAGCATATTGGTTAATAACATTAACATGGATAACTCTAGCTGATGGTAGACACTAATTCTTTATTGCATAGTTCATGTCTGGCTCACTTGTGTGATTTACGCTGATGCCTGAACAGCCATGCGTCCATTAGAGATGGCAAAATCTCTATTAAAATCTCTATTAAAGGTAATACAGGGAAATGTGGCTGACATGCTGATGGAGAGTTCCACATGGATCCATTAACTTCTTCTCTAAGGCCATGTACTTTGTTCTTTAAACTTGTATTATTTCATAGCTGACAATTTTCTATTTTATAAGTATAGGAAAACTTACCTCTGACCTATAACTTTATGATGATTTTTAGAATTATCCTTGGTGAAATGTGGGTATTTGATGTTGCTACAAACAATAATAGATAAAAAGAATTATCAAAAACTAACTTGATGGAAGGAGTCTCCCTGGAATTTGAAGTGTATCCTCTTTTAGAGGCTGAACACCATCTTGATCTCATTACATTTTTTCCCCTCATCAGAGGCTCTCAGATGGCATTTTGCAGCAATAGTTTATTTGACCTGACCCTCAGAAGATTCTGGCCATTTGGAACGTGTTGTCATAAGCTATTAGTGATCTATCTATAACAGTTGTGCTTCTAGGCTTACTATTTGGTTAAAGGTGGGGGGAAAAAACCCAACAAAAAAAACCCAAAACTAAACACCTGGCTGGAAAATAAATTAAATTATCAAGTTTAATGACACAAATATTCTTGGTAAGTAAATGTTGATATTTAGCTGAAAAAACACCAAGAACAAGCAGTGTCAGAAGGAATGGAGGAAGACTGACATCCATCTCTGTTTTTCAAATGGTTCTGAACATCTTGCAGAACAGTTACTAATTTCATGTGGGAGTCCTAGTGTTGTGTGGGATTCGCTAGTTTAATTTTTCATGTACTTTGTCTCAGCTTTGCGCATATTTCTTCAACACAGACTTTTAATGCACAGATTCAAATATTATGTAGGCTTCAGAACAGCCGTTTATAAAGTGAAGGGCATCCACAGGCAAGTTTTAAAATTACTGATAAGAAAGTTCACATCTTTTTTTAATTATTGTGTATAGTGCATTAAACAGGAGAAGAAGCAATGTCAAGTGTCAAATTTGTCTACCTGGAGATAGATTGAAGAGTCAAATATTTAGACATGTTTTTCCTGTGCAATAAAAATTGAAATCTGCCTTCAGGATTGGAATTAATATGATTTACAATAATGGTATTTGATGATTATAAAGTAGCAATCAAACACCAAACTGGTATTGAAGATGTTTTTTGCTATGTGCTGGGTGTAATTCTTGCCTCTCTACAATTTATAATGTAATTTAATCTTTACTTTTCTTTCCCTTTGTTTCCTAGCATAAGACGGCATCAGGAAAGGAGAGCTATTTTAACTCCAATTTTAACAGATTTCACCGTTCGAATAACTGCAGCTCCTGCGATTATTTTCACAAAAATTGATGCTGCAGAGAATTTACACCCAGAGGTTAGTACAAAGTGTCAAAAGAAGTAGCACAACTTTTAATATGTGGATAATCTCACCATTCCACCATTTGAAGAGTTCAGGTGTGTTTTCAGATTGTCAGCTGGAGAGAGGTCACGAGCTGAAATGTTCTTTCTATGCTGGAAAAAGAATAGCATTCGATATTAAATGCCAATTAGACAGAGGCAAATAAACCTGTTTTCAGTTCCAGAAATAGGAATCCTTTAATGACTTCCAGCAATATTTTTTAAAAGTTTGTGATGGAAGGGTGTTAAGAAGAGGTGCAACATTAACAAAACATTGTATTCACAAGCTTAAAGAAAATTCTTTTCATAAAGAAACCTGAAAATGCAATCTGTATACTATCTATAATAAGAAAGTTAAGCTGGGTTCTCTTAGCCTGATTTCCAAGATGCCAAGTTGCCACTAAGCATCCACCTCCCTACCTTTGCTATGGGTACTCCTAGGTACTCAGATTTAACAATCACTTTTGCTGGTGTGTTGTTCAGCTAGTTAATGGTAAGTCTGTGAAGCAAGTTACACACAAAAGTTATTGGCTGACTTTTTGGCATTATTTTATAGCTCAAGAACATTTCATATAGGGAAAATATCAGAAAAATTTGTCATCTCATAAGGATAATTTCCCTTAAAAGCTACCTCCTGGGAAGAGCAAAATTGGTACAGGAGTTTAAAGAGTACTAGATATGTATTGCAACATGCAGTGGGTGTACATTGTTGGAAAATAATAGCTAGGGGACACAAAGAGAAGAAATCAACAGTTTCACATTTTGTGTAAAGGGTCATCAGAAGGGCAGATGGAAACTTATTCATTGTAAAAAAGAAATAGGGAGCCCCAGTATGGTTAGGATGCATAGAAGTTAGTTGAGTTAAAAAAAAAATTAAAAATCTGAGCTTTGCTAATGCTTATGTTCAGGAATTTTTCTGTACGTACATTCTTCTTGTTATCTGTTCCCTGGATGACATTCCATCATGAAGGGAGAGGTCTAGTTTAGATTAGAGCTTGAGCGCTGTGCAAACTTCTCATGAGACAGAGCAGTTCTTCTCCCCTTCTGCATTGGTTCTGTTTTTCATCTCTTTATTGCTTGCCAGCAGTGGTGAAGATCTTTATTTGTGCAAGACAACACCAATAAAACAGTGGCTATTCAGCTAGTGTTGCCAAGGTGTTAAGAATGGCTTACAAGCAAAGAGAAATCAATTAGATTGGCTATCAGTGAGTTCCAAGACATGATTTCATTATAAATCAAGCAGAGTTTGTGTTTAAATTTTAAAAAAACCAACAAAGTACATCTTTTTCTTGTAAGGAAAGGAGAATTGGAATCAGTGCCAAGGACACTCTGACAGCCCACTGATACAAGCAAGAGATGGAAGCAAGGCCTTGTGCATGAGATGCTTTTCTTGCAAAGTTTGCTTTAACAGTTCTGCTGCTAAAAGCCATGCAAAGAATAAGTCACATCCTTTAGAAGCATGACACACCAGTTTCTCCTAAGAAGACCACATTTGTACTATATATATAATGTTATATATAATGTTAAGTATTGGCTACAGCAGGGACCCACAATACAGTTATATAAAAGATGAAAATTATTTTCCCAATAGCTGTTACCTAATATTTTCCCTTAATTTCACAGGAAATTTTGGTCTGTGGTCATTCTTTGGAAGTGAACATGACAACAAATTTGGACTTCTTCCTCAATGTGGCACAAGTGCAACTTCTTCAGCATCTGGTACAAGCTAATATGGTTGGACTGGAACCTCCCAGTAGCACCACTGAGGTAGGTTTTTCCCTGGTTTGCAACTGGATTTTTAAAACGTCCATCTGGGAAGTACTGTGGCTCTGAGCAGGTGTTTGTACCATCTAGAAAAAATATAGGTAAAGGAAATAAATGTTTTTTGTTGTTAGTATGGTCTGTTTCAAAATGCATTCTGACATTGATTTAAGAATAAAATGATTGTTTACAAGCATATTATTCAGTAAATGCTATTATTCATTATAGTGGTTCTGCAACATCTTATGTACAAGGAAAATTATCTTATGTAATGTAAAAGGAGAATTATGTAAATGATGAAGGAACCAAATTTTTGAGAAATAGGTTTTTGAGATTATTTGGTGTTGAGCTTTTATCAAATCTTTCCTATTTTCTTGTGAGCTCACATGCTACACTGTACTTCACTAAAGCTAGTAAACTATAACATTTTCTCTGTGCCTAGTAACAGCTACTCACATTGTCTTAGGAACTCAATTTTCAATACAAACCTCAGTTTGTATTGAAAGCCAATCACCGTGACAGACTAGTAAGTTTAATATTCACATTTCTGGACTGATGTAAAAAAACCCCACAAAAAATATAAACAAAACAAAACAAAAAAACAAAAAAAACCACAAAAACAAAAAAAAAAACTCCCAGGAAAATATAGGGAAAAATTTTACCCTATGAAAAAATATGTATTTCTTATCTTCAAATCCTGGAATCTAGCCAGGCTGACAGCATCTTAAAGATAGTAGGAGTTAATACATGACAAAGCACTAATTCCACTGGAATGGCTGTTGGACCTGTTGAGATACCTTCACAAATAAGAACAAGAGTTAGGGAACGAGTTATTGAGTGAAACACAGTCAGCTATTCCAAGAATCTGGCTAATGGGAAACCTGGAGAAGATTTTCTCTTTCCTTTCCTGAATCTCACAGTTTCAGCACTGCACGTGAGTCTGGGTGGAAGCGAGGAATGCTCTAGAGCAGCCAAACTATTTACATTCCTCTCTCTTCACCCTGTCAAAACCCCAGAAGTTGTTTGTTTGTGCTAATCTAGGCACCACATCACCCCCCATTCTTTTATCACTTCCCAAGGATAGAGAAAAATAAAGAACATTGTTTTATTAGCATTTGGAAACATGAAAGATGTAGAAAAGAAATGTGGTATATTTTTCTTTTCCTTGGATACTTTACAGACACAGGGCCTCTTTTGGAGATGAATACTGTAAATTATATATAGAAATATCTTCAATAAATTATTTGTAGAGCGCTGTTTTCCCATTGTCAGTGGAATGGACAGAATCAGAAGATGTGAATAGATGCCAAGAATTTAAATTTTGAGTTGGCTTTGTGCATAAGTGCTGCATGACTTACTTGGACTGTAAAAGCTTGAAAGGAATTTGCTACAAATTTCAGAAAGGCTTTTGTTGACTACATCCTGAGATACTTACTTGCTCTTCATTCCCTTGCATCACTGCTGCCTTGCATCGCTGAGGTCTTCTGGAATGAATAATGGGGATATTTCTGGCTCAAGGTGTTTGCCTTGTCTTTAGTAAGTCATAGAACTACATCTGGATTAACTATACTGGAAATATAAATCCATTGGTTGGTTACGTTTTGTCCAGCTCTTCTTCATTATTATGTAGCTCTATGTGCCTAAGTGAAGCCATCCCACCTCTAATATATGCACATTTATTATTATTATTATTATGGTTCTTCTTTAGTCAGAAGAAAGAAACATAATACACTGATTGTATGCTGCTGTTTTTGTCTTAGTGAATGAAATCAGGAGTCTGCAAATAGCTTTACATACTTCACACCTGCATATTATTTCATTGCAAGAATCAAAGCATAATTTAGGTTGAAGACACTTCTGGAAATCATTCCTTTGCTCCAAAAAAGACTAATGTCCAAGCTAGATTAGGCTTTTCAGAATGTTGTTCAGTCAAATCTTTCTTTACCTCAGAGGAATGACCATGTGGATGATTGTTCATTGCTTAATTACCCTTGCTTTGGCATAGTTTTGTCTTTATATCCATTCAAAATTTTGCTTGATAAAGCTTTCAGTCATTTCCTCTCAACATTTCACAATACATTCCCAAGAAGAGTCTGACTTAATCTTCTTCATAGCCCTGCTTTAAATAAATGGAAACAGTAATTAGATGCCCTACCATCATCCTTACCCTTCTCTTGTTTTGTCTGAACCTAGCTCCCTCACCCTCTCCTTATAAATTATGTCCTTTAACCTTGTAATCCTCTTGATGATCCCCTGCCCATTCAGGTTTGTCAATCTTTTTCTTCTGCTGTTGAGCTCAAAGACAGTGCCCCAGATGTTGACCCGCAAGCATCCCACCATTTCACCTCTGATCCAGTGGCTGTGCTGCTGCTAATGCTTCCCAGGAAATGCTCAGGCTCCCACACTATAGAGACAGTCTCCTATCACATGTTCACATTGTTGGCAACCAGGACTCTTGGGTTCATTTCTGCGAAGCTATTCACTAGCACTGGCCTCCAGCCAGTTTTTGATTTGGGATTTTACCATCTCACAGATTCACAGAATCATTTAGGTTGGAGAAGACCTCTAAGATCAAGTACAAACTTTGACTGATTATCACCTTGTCAGCTAAACCATGGCAAGTGCCATGTCCAGATCCAGGACTCTGTGTTTACCTTTGTCCTTCATGAGGTTTCTGTTAAACCATTTCTCCATTTTGGCAATGTCCTTCTGGATGGCAGCCCCTACCCCTCAGCGTATCAACAGCTCCCCCCAGTTTGGTGTCATCTTTCTTTGGATATGTTTTGTGTCATTGCCAAGGTCTTTTAATAAAGACATTAAACATGTCCATGAGTAACTGGAGTTTAGCTATACTTTGGAATATTGACCATTACTTTCTCCTTTTAGTGGCCCAGAGTGATTTTTACCCACCTCATAGTGCATCCATTCAGTTCACACTTGAGTGTTTGAATAAAAGTCAGCTGTGGAAAACTGCCTAAACTTGGTCAACTTTTCTAGTGGCAAAGCATATGTTATCTAGTACTCTGTCCTCAGAATCAATCATCTCATCACAGGAGGCAATCAGATTGGGGTAAGGCATGACAGTCATCAAAGTAGCATCCCCTTGTTTAAACTTTAAAGGTGTGATTTCCAAATGGACTGTATTTGGTGGTTTACAGGGCAATGCTGTAAAGATTAGTGTAGACAAAAACCCAGAAAGAAGTGATGATTTATGGGTAAATCTCTTTTTTCTCCAAGTATTTTAATATTCTCTAAAAAGTTTCATGACAGATCCCAGTGCTGTGTTTTTACTTATTATAAGCCCTAGCTTTATACTGTTTTATAAATCTTTGATGTACAGTGGGCCTATTGTATTGACTTCTTCATAAGGTATAGTCTATTATTGCAAAGAATATTGCTTTGATCTACTTGACAGCTTTGGAGTAAGGACACATATGTGGTGTTTGATAGATTAACTGAGGGGCAAAGAATGTTGCTGAGTTTTTGTAATTATTCACTTTTTCAAAATTAATATATGCCAAATTCTTAGAAGAAGAACATATAATACCTACACATGGAGAACAGAAACAGAAGTGCTAGGAAATGAAATACAAGAAGAGTGAAGTACCACTAATGTCCTGATTTTGCTCAGTGATAAACCTAATATTATAGGTGAAATATCAATAAAAGGGCCACATTTCCTCCTTCCTAGAAGAATTTTTAATAGTCTGGTAAAGGTATTTCCAGTATAAATGATGACTAGTTTTACTGCTGATCAGTGGTAAAACAGGTGAATTTTCAAGGAGTTAATTTCTTCATCTGGCGAATCTGTTTCCTGGTGTCCATCACTTACCACCTGGAGATTTTTGGCAAGACGTATTTGTCATACTATCATTTAGAAGCAGAAAACACAAGAACTCCTCTTTGAAAAAGAAATTAAATACAAACCAACACACATTTTGTTCTGCTGCTGACCATGTAGGAATGCATGGGTAACATATCTCATTGCAAGTCAGTGAATGTCACACCCCTCAAATACGGCTATGGAGATCATTACCAACTTTTATTTTCCAATAAATTAGAGATTAAGGCTAAACTTTTGAAAAAAAATTGATGTATACAAAAATAATTTCTTTAAATTTGTCCTAAAGATTGTTCCTGTGTAATAACTATCTACACTGGAGGCATTGAATGCAAAGAACAGTTTCTTTGTATCTTCCTTGAAAAACAAAAAAGGTACTTAGAAATGCTTACTTTTTCTTCACACTATTTCTGTGACAATTATGGCTCTAGATGGAGGGAAGATGATTGATTTTAAAATTCAAGGCCACTTGAAACATCTGAAATACTTTCCAGATGATGTCCATTGAAAGCATTAATTCACTTTCTGTTCCCTAGGGTGTATTTCTCCTTATCCCCTCCATCACAGAATGGGTAAGATTGGAAGGAACCACAGTGGATTCTCTGGTCACTTCTGCTCAAGCTGGGTCCTCCAGAGCACATGGCACAGGGCTGTGTCCAGATGGTTCTTGACTATCCCCAGTGAGGGAGACCCCACACCCTCTCTGGGCAGCCTGTTCTCAGTCACCCACGCAGTAAGGAAGCTCTTCCTCATGTTCAGGTGGAATTTCCTGTGCTTCACTCTCTGCTCATTTCCATTTGTTCTAATGCTCAGCAGCACCAGGAAAAGCTTGGTTCCATCCTCTTGAAACTCTCCCTTTAGATACTGGTAGACATTGATAAACTCCCATCTCAGTCATCTCCTCTCAAGTCATTCTTAAATAGGCCCAACTCCTCAGCCTTTCCTCATAATTGAGGTCCCCCTCATCATCTTCATAGCATTCCATTGGACTCACTCCAGGAGGTCTACATGTCTCATGTACTGAGCAGCCCAGAACTGGACAGAGCACTCCAAGTGAGGCCTCACCAGAGCTGAGTAGAAGGGCAGAATCGCCATCCTCAACCTACTGGCAATGCTCTTTCTAACACACCACAGGATAGCTTTGGCATTTTTGGCCACAAGGTCA